TAACATCAGTTATAATAAATGTAACATCAGTTATACTAAATGTAACAACAGTTATAATAACTATAACATCAGTTATAATAAATGTAACAACAGTTATAATAACTATAACAACAGTTATAATAAATGTAACAACAGTTATAATTAATGTAACATCAGTTATAATACATATAACAAATAACAGTTATAATATAACAACAGTTATAATAAATATAATAACAGTTATAATACATATAACAACAGTTATAATAAATGTAACAACAGTTATAATAAATGTAACAACAGTTATAATACATATAACAAATAACAGTTATAATATAACAACAGTTATAATAAATATAATAACAGTTATAATACATATAACAACAGTTATAATACATATAACAACAGTTATAATACATATAACAACAGTTATAATACATATAACAATAGTTATAATACATATAACAACAGTTATAATACATATAACAATAGTTATAATACATATAACAATAGTTATAATACATATAACAATAGTTATAATACATATAACAGTTATAATAAATGTCAGAAAGCAGAGTGTTTTTGTGCTGCTCACCCTTTTTCAGCTTGTAGGAGCAAAACTAATAAACTTCAGGCTCCAAAGAGACGTTGGTGTCTTCACCAGTTTGGACTAACTGTCATGCAGACGCTGCAATGGATGCAGCTGAGCCTGCATCAGGGTTGCCAGATAAATTTAAAATGTCTTATTTACCTCCTCCTTTTCTGTGAATATGTTCAACAAACACAACACCTCATCTTAGAACATCTTTACTCAGCACATGTGACAGTTTAGGTAAAAAAAAACTATAATTTTAAAGCCACAGTGCTATAGTTCATCATTTCTTATCTGGCAACCCGAATGACATGGAAACTACAGCGTTTTCATGTAAACCCACTCATTTTTTGTTTATTACCCCAATAAACATAGAAAAAACACTAAAGTTTCCAGAGGTTGTTCTGTGTAAACGGGGCCTTGCAGCAGGTGGATCACTTTGACTTGGTCACTTTAAAAGGAGCTCCGTGATGAAAACATCTGGACACTCCTGATTTAGACAGATGGTGAACGGGGTGGAAGGAAGAAGACAAAACGTTTTGAAAAACTTACATCGCTGTAGTGAGCGAAGCTCTGATCGCCTCCTGCGTAGATCTTTGAGACAAAGCAGTTCTGCTCCTGGTCTGCACGAACACACGACGCAGAAACACGAAGCGTTTTGAACATTTTCACGAAGGGATGCTTTTTTAAGAAGCAGGATTTTAATTTAGTGCAGGAGCACGGTGACGAAAACAACAGAAAGTCAACAAGCCAAAGAATCGTCTGTTTTTAAGCAACGACTGGAGGGACAGACGGGGGAGGGAGCCTCCAGAGAATGAACGTTTCCTCTCACCGTTCTCGGCGTCGGCAGCGACCCACGGGCCTTTGACGGGCGCCGGGCTCTTCCTGTTGCTGGTGGAGCGCGTGCCCAGCTGCCCGTTACCGCCGAGTCCGAACGAATCCATCTTTCCAGAGGCGGGCGTGAACGCCAGCGTGTGCTGCCTGGTCCATAAAATATTACGTTTTGTGATGTTTTCAAGCCGCTGGGTTTTCCGCCGAGAATCAAACGTGCAAAAAATATCCGACCAACTCACCGTCCACAGGCGATCTGCGTGACTACGTTTCCCATGAGCTCGAACACCTTCCTGGGGTTGATCTCGTGGTTTGTGGAGTTGTGGCCGAGCTGCCCGTACCCTCCGGCTCCGAAGGTGAACACACCTCCTTCCTGCAAGATCACCGGAGAATACGAGACCGGAACCGATTCAGAGGGGCGGAGCCTAACATCAGAACGTTCACGTTTTAAGGCTGAACTCCTCCGAAGTCGTGTCCAAAGTTTATAAGCACAGCCACAATTGTTGCTATTTAGTGTTTTTACTCAGAATATGAACGATTATTTTCTAAAGACATGATTTTTTATTTTTTTAACTGTAAAGACTGAAGTACACTAACTTTTGTTCTAAATCTTGGTTTTAAAATTAAACATTCACCCAATTAAAAGAAAAGCATTCGGCTCCTTTGATCTTTTGGGTTTATTGTTTTCCTTGTACGTAGAAGCACCAGACAGAATCGAGGCTTCATCAACAATCTCTGCCCATGAACCGTATGTTTGGGGTGGCAGCGGGCACTGGGTGAGGACACCTGAGCTCTGAACTCGGCTGAACTGATAAGGGTATAAAAGCAGGCAGAGGACGCAGCTCGAGGCAGATTCTTGTGATATTCATGTATTTTATATATATTTAAAATCTGTCCTGAAAAACTGGACTTGCAGGTAAATCCTGGCCAAGAATCTTCTGCTGTCGAGCGTGGTCCTTTGAGTAAACAACGTAAGCGAGTGTGTTTTTCTCCAACAGTTTAATCCTTAAAAGGTTCATTTCTTTCAAAATTTTTCCGGACCCACAGGACCGTGGACGTTCCAAAACGGAGGATGAAGAACAGAAAAAGGTTTCAGCTCTCGTTGAAACCGATTCAGGTTTGAAGGGAAGCTGAAAACTGTGATCGAACCTACGTGAATACATTTAATTAAATCAACAATTTGTTTCCAACGTTGGCAAAGTTTCACACAAACGGTCTACTTTTTGGTAAACGTTGGTTGATCGTGGCCCCTTTTACCACAAAACAAAACAAAAAAAGTGTTTAAATAAAGATGAAAACAGCAAAGTACTTATTATTATTGCACATTTACAGGCCTCTCTTGTAAATGAGTCCTCGAGGCTCAACCTGTCTACATAAAGTTTGAATGAATTTCATCGTTTTGTGTTCAAACTAAAAATGTCCCCCGTTAGATTTGAAAGAGACGTCCATCACGGGCCGCACAGAACCACTCAGAGGGCCGCAAATGGCCCGTGGGCCATACTTTGGACACCCCTGTTCTAGACACTCTATGGACACATCAAACTTTAGCTGCGTATCTAAAACTGACTGAGTCAGAGGCGTTTTGTGTTTGCTGAAGTCGATTAGCTGTGGCGGCCATCTTGAACGAGGTAAGTTTCTATTTATTTCCATATTAGGACAACGGACGGACTTCCATCCGGTTCTGTAGCCTAACCGTACCACTAACCCCAAAACACCATTTTAACGTGTCGGGACCGAGCTGTGGTCCCTGCTGGTCCCGACAGGCAGGGGAAGGTTCCAGAAACTGTCCTGAAATGGTAACGGAGCCCACGGAGCCCACGGAGCCTACCTTCGTCAGTGCGGCGGTGTGATCTTCTCCACAGGAAACGTAAATCACTTTCTGAGATCTCAGGGACTTCAGGAGGACCGGGTGACACCGATCTGTTAACAGAACCACCTGACGGTCAGCTTCTGGACTCTCTCAAGTACTTTACGGTTCCGACCACCCACCGTTCGTGTCGTTGAGACCCAGCTGGCCGAACTTGTTGCAGCCCCAACCGAAGACGGCTCCTGAGAGGGTGAGGGCGAAGCTGTGGGCTCCGCCTGCGGAGATCTGAGCGAAGGGGATCCCCTGCAGAGACTGAATCATCTGCGGCGTGGGGATGCTCTGTCCACTTAACCCCAAGCCGAGCTGACCCGATCGATTCTGGCCCCAGGAGAAGATCTGGCTGCCTGAGGACAAATACGAGCATCGTTATCATTAAAACACGCAGAGCGGAAGCAGAAGGAACGAACTGTGCTCACCTTTTGAAAGTGCGAGGGAGTGCCAGTAGCCACAGGAGATCTGGGTGATTTGAACGTCTGACAAACTCTTAATGTTTCTGAAATTTTCACACAAAACAAAAAGTTTAAACGTCCAAAACGAGGGCGAAGATACGAAACGTTCAAATCGTGCACGTGCTGCTGAATTTACCGCGGGACCCGAATGCATTCCTCGAAGTTATTTAAGCCCAGCTGTCCATCAGAACCCTGACCCCACGAGAACACCTGGCCTTTGTCGTTCAGAGCGAGCGTGTGGGACTCTCCGCACGACACCGCCACGATGATCTGCGCGTCCAGCGCCACCACCTGCTCTGAAACGACACAGACGGCTTCATGGGCGACGGCGTGACCCCGACGCGCGTCGTCCGCGTAAACACCACCAACCTGGTTTCTTCCTGGACTTCTCGTGTCCCAGCTGGCCCAGATCGTTGCAGCCGCAGGTGTACACGGTCCCGTCCTCCAGCAGGAAAGCCGTGTGTTTGCGGCCACACCCGACGTCGCTCACCCGCTTCCCCTGGAAGAATTCACATTTTTTGGGCTCGATCACGATCTCGTCGTCGATGCCTCCCAAACCCAGCTGCCCGTAGGAGGCGTTTCCCCAGCACAGCATGGTGGCTCCGCCCCTAAAATAAAAACAAAATGATAAAAATAATTGTGTTAATTAAGATCCACCGCAGTAATGTGTTAGAAGTGCAGCCAAAAACTGTTCAGATTAAAAACTGGGATTACAGCTGATAAACACTTTAAATTGACATTCCTAGTTTCACGAACGGACTTCCTGTGCGTTTCATAAAAAAATACAATCTTTGAAGGAACTCGTATCACCTTTGGTTGGTCCAGGGAGTTGAACCGGCGACCTTCCAACCACAGGCTCGCCTTCTCTAACCTCTGCACCACCACGCCCCACTAAAGTCTTTCACCTGAACATTTACCTGATTCTGATTATCGTTTGTTGAGCCGCCTGAAAGAACTCATCGCAAAGTCACGAAGACGGTAAAAAATAAAATTCATAAAGTTTCCCAGAACCACGTGTCCTTTCAAATTAAAAAAAGTGAATGGCCGCCAGCGATGAGCTGCGATTAAAACAGTCCAAGTGACTGAAAACAGGTCGGCGGTCCGTGGGGGGGCCGTCCGACATGAAGGAGTCTGGTAGTGTTTCACGTATTTAAGCTCCGATTTGTTGAGTAACATTTGCAAATAAGAAGACAAGTTAGGAACGGTAAACTTGTTTAAAATACGTTTTGTAGAAATTGAGCGCTTGAACGCCGAGCTCCGTCTTCACGGCGCTCCACTGACCCTCATGACCCCCCGCTCTGATTCCACGTTTCTCTGTTTCACGTTTAGCTGCAGACATGCTCACATTTCCACCTCGACGTCTTTACACTCGTCCGATTCTGCCGTATTTGTTTTAGACGTACAGGCTGCGGTCAATCGCTGAGCAGAGTCTGCCGAGTGCTTTGTTTACGGTGAGCGCGTACCCGCATTTCAAAACTGCATATCTGTTTAATCTGAAAATTATTTGACTGAGTTCAGGTTAACCTCTTCTTAATACGTTTAACTCTGACCTGAATGAGTCAGGCTTAAAAAGGCTCCTAAACTCAAGGGATGAGCCAGAGACATGCCGACACAAAACAGACAACTTGGCAAATAATCAGTTTTAAATTAGACCCGTAGGCACTTTGTTCCCAGCAGCCTGTCACAAAGACACACTGTTCCACTTTCTTCAACTCCATCTATAAAAATATACACTTTATAAACTAAAATGTAAACTTGAACACTTTTAGACACCTATTGATAATATGATTTAAAGTATATAGAGGGGAAATCTTGGTGTACATGAAAGACATTTATTTACACCAGATGTTGCCATCTGCTGGAGATGTTTTGAGTTTAAACCTCACTTTCCTCATTGCACAACATGCTCTCAATGTCAGTTTTATTTTATTTTTTTTAGCACATCTAAAAACAACTAAGTTCTCCAAAGTGACTTCCTGTCATGGTCAAGACCAGAACTGGACCCAAATGACTGGAAAAGCAGCCATGAAGTTTTAAAAAGTAACTTCTGTAAACTACTGATGGAGGCTGCATAAAACTACAAAAGTCTGGCTTCTCAGAAGCAAAAGAAATTAGTGGGGATTTTAAAATGTGCTACAGACTTGCACATTTAGTGTTTTAAACTAATTCATAAAAAGATCTGATTACTTTGGGGATAAACTGGTTAAAACTAGTTAAATAAACAATCATAAAATAACTTTTCTTACTCATTTGACTTTAATATGAGCTGTCAGTATCAATAGATGCCTTTATTGCCACAATATATTAAAATATCTAAATTAAAGAAGCCAACAGTGGAGTTAATAAAGTAAATGTTAAGGTTTATGTGAAAGTTGGAAACTGTTGATTAGATCAACCATGACGTCACATGACTAAGTTAAGGGTTTAACACGATGGTATTCCCCCTGATAATTATATTCAACTCTAAATTATAAATAAAAACTCTGGACACCATAAGGATTATAATAATCCTTATTTTAACTTGTAGTAAAAGAGTTGGCAGGCTACAGCATAAATGCAAGTTCATTTTCTGACTCAAATCGACATTTAATAGTTGAGCATTTAATATATGTTTCGGGACTATTATTATTTTATTGAGACAAAGACGCCAGTTTGTTAAGTTTGAGTAAATGTTTTAAAAGTGACCATTAAAGCCACGAGCAGCAGCAAATCTTACCTAACCTCCAGCAGAAACAACAGCGTTACTGGTTCCGGTGTTGGTTCGGCGGCTGGTTCGGGTGCTAAAAGCCCACACTTCAACACATTTTGGGCGGTTGATGCTTTAAGGCAATTAGCAGCTAAATAAAAACAATAATTCCTCCTCACCAAAGCACTGTCAACAACTGCTTTGAGCTGCTATAATGCTAGTAACGAAACTCCACCAAGTTAGCCGAAACTCACTCTGAGTTTCCGGTTCGTTCCTAAAAAAATAAAAGCAGGTAGTGACGGAAATTCGACTAATTAGACAAAAAAAAACGCTAAATAATAATTTTTCAGAAACTAAGATGAATAATTAAGTAAAACTATTTGAAAATTGTTTTAATTTCAGTTACTGTCAAGGTAAACAAACGCCACTTCAATTCGCTGTTTGTGTTTTGAAAAGCATCTCATTTAACCGGATGTTCTAGATTACTACCGTAAAGTGACTTAACGTTGGTGAAGAAATGTCGTGAAGCGTCTATAGCGCGTACGCATGCGCACACCGTGTAAAACCGACAGTTTTAAAAAATATATATATTTAACTTTTATTTATGCAGGTAATCTCATTGAGTCACGAGAATTCATTTTCTAAAGATACATGTTTTAGACAGACAACATAAATAAACAACAATAATAACAATTAAAAACAATTGTCACTAAAGTTCATGATCCAGGTAAAAATCCAGCAATGTTCAGTCAGGTCATCTGAATGTTTTTTTTTTTTTTTTGCTGATACGTTTCTTCCTTCATCCAAAGGACTTCTTCAATCTGAGGAGCCACCAAACAAACTGGTTTCCACAAACAGCATACTCCATAGTAGAGTAATCTGACCCGGCCCTAGCCCATAGCCATCATTTACGAACCCCACCCGACCGGACGAATTAACAGTAATTACAGGTCCTAACCCGAACAAACACAGACCTTTTTAATTAAGCTTTTTAACGGTCGGCTGAGTAAAGGGGGCAGAAGATCAGAGCTGAGGGGGTGTTTGTCCTTTCATGGCCGTCAAAGTGCATTAAATCCCTGCTTCTGTCTGCAGTCTGCATTATTCAGACACGGACCCTGCTCTGACATGTCAGATATTTCATGATCTCACATGTTTGGGTCGTCGGCCTTGTGCGTCCACTGAGTGCAGCAGCTGAATGAACGTCCATTTCGGCTGATGGATCGCTGGCAGTAGTTCATCTGAAGCTTAACTGAACTTTTTACCTCTTTCGATGCCGGTCAGCGCACGGTCAAATGGCCGGTGCAGCTGGTGCTTGTATGGCAAGCCATGTTGCCATATAATTGGATCCCAGCTGCGCGCATCCCCTGACTCAATCAAAAGCCCGACAACGACCCCGCCCGGCCCTAATCTGGGTCGGGCGGGGTCGGGTTCTGGGTTAGAAATGACAGCTCTACTCCATAGTGAGAAAAAACAGTTTGCTGGTGCTAGGATGTCCTCCGGGGCCCGCCCTCTCCCTCATCTCAGCAAAAAAAGAAACTGTCCAGATGACCTGACTGAACATTGTTAAAAACAATAGTGTTATAAAAACAATAAAATCCAAGTGTCCTATAAAACAAGGTAAAATACTAAAAACAAGAACATATGCTTACGTTTTTCTAATGACCTTATCAAATGTTTAAAATCCTTTAAAGAAATCAAAGTTGACAGCTTCAGATCTTGTTGCAAGGTGTTCCAGGAGCAGAGTAGGAAAATACCTTTTTGCCGAGTTCAGTCCACACTAAAGGAACGCTGCAGGTAACGATGGCCTGAGAGCGCACGCCGTAACTGCACTGACGACGTGACATGTGGGAGGAGATATTGGAAGGCAGCAGACCAAGGAGGGATTTATAGATAAAAACGAGCCAGTGTTAAGAGTCTGCGTGTAGATAAGATGACCAACTGACCCATGAGTACAGGGTGCAGTGATGGGAATGATAGTTACAACCAGTTATGAATCTTAGTGCGCCATGGTAGACAGCATCCAATGTGCAAGATATCTGCAAGGTGCTGGCAGGAGCATTCATGTAAATAATGTCACTGTAGTCAATGGATGGAAGGAAAGAAACGGTTTCAAGGCGTTTTCTAGCATTCAGAGTTAGACAGGATCTATTTCTGAAAAAGAAACCTAATTTTTCTTTCAGTTTCTTTAACAGGTTTTCCAGATGTGGTTTAAAAGAGGGATGTGCATCGACCAAAATTCCCAAATATTTGTGGATCTACAAACTCCATAGGAACACCATGCATGGATGAGATAGGAGGAAGAGTTGGTGGCACCAACATTCTGTTGGAAAACAACATCCCTTTGGTTTTATCAGCGTTTAGCACCAGTTTGAGATGGAATAAGTCTGACTGGATGATGTCGAATCCAGACTGTAACAGCTGGAAAACCTTGGTGACTGTGTTAGTTCAGCAATAAATAACTGCATTGTCAGCAAAGAGATGCAAGGAGGCGTCAGGAATGTTTAGACCTCAGTTACTTACATAAATTGTAAAAGAGGTGTTCCTAAAACTGAGCCTTGTGGAACACCATTGGTGACCGTTAGGTAGCTAGATGAAATACCGTTATGTCGAACACATTGCCTCTGACCTGAGAGATTGTTTGAGAACCAGCCAACAGTGTGATCTGAAAAGCCAATATCTGAGAACTTATGGCATAAGACGTCATGGTCTACAGTATCAAAGGTTTTGGACAGGTCTAAGTAAAGTCCAGCACAGTGATCCTTAGCGTCCAAAGCTTTAACAGCATCATCAAAAACCTTTAGCAAGCAGTCACTGTGCTGTGTTAAATAAAATAAAGGTTGAATTAATTAATTAATGAATGTGTTGTTTCCTGAAGCCAGATTGGTGAGAAGATAAAATATTAAAATAATCCAGATTCTTCTTGGCCTGAGTATTTGTCCGTTTGTCTAAAACCTTAGCTAAAATACAGAGTTTGGAAATTGGTGAATAATTGTTCAGTATAGTGGGGTCTCCTCTTTACAGTAATAGCAGCACAAAAGCTGTTTCCAAACATTCGAAACGTATTATTTTATATGGACAGATTAAAAATGTACGACACTGGTTCAGCTATAATTTGTGCAGCTATTTAAAAATGAGGAGGGAGGTCATCAGGGCCACCAGTTGAATAGCCCTGCTCTAGACCTTTAGCTTTAATGGAAGCTCTTATTGAGTAAATTGCAACCAGACTTTCTTGCTGTTGCCCATAGCTGGTCCCTCATGTGCACGAGGTCAGCTAGGTCAGAAATAAACCAGGTGCGATCCCGGCCCTTAATTCTAAACTGGCAAAAATGATCATATTTATTTACAAAATGAATGAAACTATTACGAAAATAGTTCAAAGCAAGATTCACATCGTCAGTTAATGAAATACGCCAGTTAAAATGGAACAAATCCAAAGAACGTTGAGTTTCACAAAGAAAGCAAGAAAGTTTCACGTTAGTTGAGAAAACTGCAACTAACTAAACAAAATGTGTCAAGCCAAAAGTTTAATATCAGCTGAAGTCGTGTTTTTCCATGTGCTCCATGTTTTATTTTTGAAAAAGAAATTTATAACGAGAAAAATCTGGCACTTGGCTAGCCATTAGCCTAGCCTAATGAAGACTCCAAACTCCGTGCTCCAGGTATTAAAGACATAACGATTTGACACAACTTCAAAAATCACCAGACAGTTCCTTTACCGAGGCGTCACCTGCACAGCCATGAAGAAAACAAAAGCCTGACAGCAACATGGAAACAGCTGGAAACAGAACCAGTAAACAAACGGTGTGCTGGAACACTGTGTGAACCCGATGTTGGGAGGGGTGATGACTAACTGAGAGCGTCGGAGAGGATGAACTCACAGTATGATGAAGGCGAGGATGACGAGGGTCACCAGGGTCATCCTCTGACAACAGGGAGGCTGGAAAACTGAAACAAACAACAACAACTCTGAAACAAACAACAACTCTGAAACAAACAACGTGACGGTAAATAAGGACGGGGTAAAGAAGTGGAGGGGTCAAGATGTGTTTGGCTTCAGGCCCTAAAATGACCAAATCCACCTCTGCTCCAGGGGTGCCACCAAGGGGGGACCAGTGGGGGCAATGGTTACCAGTTAAAAAAAATTGATGAGTACCCCCATTGGCCCACTTTGTCCAGATAGTTTTATCCTCTTGAGTCTCAAGCTTTTGGTTGGTGTGTATTTTTAATTTTTACAAGCTATAACTAGTAGAACCTCAGAAACACAAAAAACGAAAAATGTTTTTTGAGCAGCTACGAGGTAAAATATATATTTTATCTAAATTAAAAATAAAGCTTAAAATCCAGTCCCCCTGCAGGACAGCGGGTATAAAACCAACATCCTCAACATCAGGATGCAAAGTCTCAGCAGGTTTCGTGTAAAATATAATTTTATAAATATAAATTTAGGAGAGGACAATAAAAATGTTTAAACTCGAACGTTTCTAGTAAATGTTTTGTTCAATTTAAAGATGAACTTTTGTGTTTTTCAGGGAAAGGTTTGAGGCCTGATGTAAAGAGACTGAACTTATTAAAACTGGACTGTTGTGGAACTCCAGATGTTCTCGGTTCTGTCTCTGAACATCCCATCATCAGTGAAATAACTTATAAAATAAGAAACGGAGGTAATTCTTTAAGTTTCGTGCTACCGACAGCTTTCGTTTAGCAGAATTAGCTTAGGCTAAATTAGGTTTTGCCAACTTCAAGTCCTTTAATAAAATTCACAAGATTGTTCCTGTCTGTTGTGGGCGTGTCTTGAAGAATCCGTTAGGCACGCTATTGGCTGACTACGTGTGCACGACACGATGTGGTTGGTCGACACAGCTTCGACCGAAAAGAGACAAACATAAAAGTATTTCCTGCAAAAATGCAGTGTGAATGCTTATTGCTGAAGAACTTGCTGAAAAACAGCTGAAATTAGCTAAAAACATGCTGAATTTCAGCTGAAAATGAAGAACAAGCCTAAATTAGCAGAAGAAAACAGAAAGAACATATATTTGCTGAATTGCTTTAAATAAACACAAATTAGCACAGAAATTACTAGCTAAAAAAAATGTTAAAAGGTAGCTGAAAAGGGAGAAAGAAGCTTAACTTACCAGAAGGAAGTGGAAAGAGCTGAAATTAGCTTTAAAAAAGGTGGAATCAGCTGAAAAAGCTAAAAATCATACAAAACAGCTAAA